TTGATTTCCCGCAAATCACAAGGTTCAAATCTTGTAACAATATATTACTTAAGATTTACTTACAGGTTTTCTGCTTGTTGCAAATGTAATCCCAAACAGATAGAAGCGTCGTCTCAGACGTTTATTACAATTTCTCTCTTTACAATATTTTTAGTTTACAATGGTTTCAGTCTTTTTAAATCAATAGTCCGAATTGTTTACAAAATACACACCCTTATACCGTAAGGCGTTTGCAGTCGCGAAAGCCTTGTCGGTTCGTATGCGTAATTTTAATGCCGAAAATGCGTATCTGTTCTCTTTAAGATACTTCACGATGTGAAATCCACACTAATTTTGATGAGGGGTTTTGACAACTCAAATTTCCGAATTACAAAATCGATCAATTTCCGCTAGCGATCGTCAGTACTCAGGAGACCTCCCTCGAAATCTAGTTCACTGATTTCTGTTGGGAACTATGCCGAAAAAAGTGACTTTATCCGATTTGTAACCGAAATATCCGAATTACCGAAGATTGGAGAACGTATTCGTTCTCCGGGTTTGCCACGACTGGTTTTTAATTTTGTCAATTGTAGTTTTTAAGTCTTGAGTTTAGACGTTGGCTTTATGGGGTGGGAGTTGGTGATTTGGAGGTTTATGACGAAAATTCGACGTGGAACACCTGTTCAGTGATCGAAATTTCGCTGATTCTACTCCTGGGGTTTTTGGATATTTGAACTTTGAAATAGCCTGAGGAATTAAGGGCGATGTTGAAATTGCCTGTTGGCAATTTCGACATCGGTTGTGCCGAAAAGAGTCATTGGAATGTGTTTTATGTTCATTTTCAGATTCGGGGTGGTTTAGGGGTTGTTATTTTTTAGGGTTGTTTTGGCTTGCCGGAAGGGTCTCGATGACTCGAACAATTTTTGTAAAGGACATTTTTCTAGGTAACGTGGCGTTTGGGTGTCACGTCGATTGTTAGTTAGTTATTGTTTATTTAGCTAGCTCTTTTATTTATGGATGGAATGTCGAAATTGTCGGTTTGTTGTCTTGCGCTGGTTGTGCAGCGTTTTCGGAAATTCGTTTTGGTTTGGAATTGTGTTTTACTATTTATTAGGGTTGGTTGAAAATTTTTAGGGGAATTTGTTGTTAACAATTGTAATTATTATCCGATTGGATTGAGTAAGAACTTGGATTGTTTGCTTTTGTTGCCCGGTCGTTTTTTGTAAAGGGAAGTTTTGTGTAAAACTATTATTTTGTGTTTTAGCAAAAATGTTTTGTTAGGGATGAATTAGACCCCTGCTCTTTAGCAGTTTTTTGTTAATAACTTTTGCAGTGTTCGGAATTTCTTTTTAGGTGATGGGTCAAAAATTTCGTCGTTGTGGGGCGGAGCTGTTGATGTGTTTGTATGGTGCGGGGATTTTGTTTTTATAATTTAGTTTGGGGGCAATTCGATTATTTCGTGTAGGGTAGTCAGGGGTAGGTTTTATGATGGTCCAAACGGGGTGTATGAGAGCTCAAAGTTTTTGTTTCGTCCAGGGGAACAATTTTGGTTTTTTGCGCTTAATTGTTCGGCTCTTTGTTTAATTGTTATTAATATTTTTCTGTAATTTAGATCTTATACGCCGTTGTTTATTTCGGGTTTTGGATTTTTTGGAATTGGGGGAGGATTTTGAAAGGGGGATTTTAGGCTGAGAATAATTTGGACATAACAAGTTCAAATATGTCCTTCAAGAAACTAAGATTGATAAGTCCATGGAAATAGATTTGCGGTATTCACTGTGCTCAATGACAAAAAAATTTGTATATATGGAAAAATATATGAATTTCATCTTGCGGAATTCAATTCTCCTCTATCTCGATCGAGTTTGCCAATAAACGCATCGGAGCGCCCCAACATTCGCGCAAATGTTAACGTGGTGCCCATTTCTCTCCCATCCATGATAACTAATTATCTATCGCAGTTACGAGAAAAAGTTATATGATAAAAAATGTGTATTTTTATATAACAAACATCTAGAGTTGAAATTGTTTTCTCCATCTGCTACCGCTTCCATGATATGATCGATTATACAATAAAAATGTTATACATAGATAGACCTGATCACAATTTGTAAAAATCGACGTCGGATTCGGATTCAGCACTTCCGTTAACGTAAATTCCGTAGATAAAATATAATTTGTTTCCTAGCGCGTACAGAAATAGGGTCACTATTCCTATTTCCACTCTAAAAAATAGCTGGAAACAACTTTTTGGTAGCATAAAATTTTTGTGAATTTTTTCAGATTTTTAAAATGGGGCTTTCGTTAATCTACTTCAAAAATCGATAAAAAATTGAAGAATTGATTTAAAAAATCTGAAAAAAAAATCAGGGCGGAGTTTTCATCCAGTAGAATCATGAAAAAAAAATGAAATGAATCTGAGACGGTCAGGGTTTAAACCGGTCGAATTGACATGGAATGCCCCAATACGAACCTTTTTTATCACAGGAGGAAGATTCTGTCCAAATTTTAAGTTGATGTCTCGATTTTTGAAAAAACAGAAAAGGGAAAATATCTCAAAAAATTTATATGGACGGGTATATATGTTTTTGTTGATCTAGATAGACGACATCGCGGCGAATATTCTGAAAAAAAAATCTAAATCGGTCCAATAATTCTAAAGATATTCGTGAAAAATGATTTAAAAACGAATCGCTTCATCTCAAAAACTACTTGACCGATCGGGCTGAAATTGTGCACAGTTAGTCCTCATTAAGACATAAAATCTGACAAAATTTAAATTTTTTTTGAATTATTTTAGCCACTTAATTACTCAATTTTCTAAAAATTGACCATCAGGAATGTGGCGGTGGATATATTCACATACAGACATGGTCGCCAAACTTCGTATTTTTACATCAGACCATTCTGCATCATTTTCAATGAAAATTAGAGAATGTGTAAATCGGACGATTTCAAACGTTCCATTCGGAGGTAAAAATCGCAAACTCCGGTGCGGCGCTCATAGCGTGACTAACGGATTATTAAGAAAGTGCTCACCCTCTGATTAGAGGGAGCATTAGTGTAGAACGAGGAAAAGTTTGCATTCGATTAGCTTGTTTGGCGGTCTTTGAGGTGAAGTCGGAACTCTCGAGGATCGTTCAGCAATCTCATTTACGAGTGTAAAAAAAATAATAACACATATTATTATTATTTCAGTTTTCTCAGTTTTATCAGTTTCATGTTTACTGATAAACTCAGATGTATCAGTTAACATGAAAACACGTTATGGTGATCGATGTTTTCTCGTATTTCTTTGTACACAATGGATACTCATCATGTTTCCTGATTGATTTAATTAGTTGAATAAAACATGCACCTAAGGAGGAGCGCCTTGAGCGTTCGAAAAGTCGTGCAATGTGCTAAGAACTTTTTGTGATCATTTTGACTGCTAGTGACCGAAATATGACCCAAAACCACTTCCAACAATTAAAAATGAACGGTCGAGAACTTTGCTTCAATTTGAATAATAATAATAATGATCAACAGTATTATCTTTCATAGTTAAGAAAATTATGTATCCTACACCATAACAATAATTCCTGATTAAATGATTCACGTAATCCTATAAATTGTACATTATAGAGTTATTTCTTATTACCACTACCTATTTTTCTCCCACCACCCACTTCCCGTAACCCTTGGGGATCAACTTTTTTTGTACCCTCCACCCCGGGGCCCCCCAACGCGCCAACATCCCCTTTAAAAGGTATGTCGCCGAGGGGGGAAAGGGGCAGTCCTTCCTAGAAAAAAGGGGGAGGGAGCATGGGAAATTCCTTAATCCCCGACACTTACAACTAACGATATTTATCATTAAGTGTTAATCTCTGTAGCAATAAGTTGTGATTCCAAAATAGCTGGAAAAAATAGTTTTTTGTCAAATAAAGTTTGATAATCCTCTAGAATAATTCCTCTATGACCATTATAAGCAATTTTTTTCATACATGTTATTTCTCTAAAAATCATATGTTGTATATCTACAACAACACAAACCCCAAGTTAACCGATAATCAAGGAATGAAGAATTAATCTTTAAACTCGCACAATGTAACTCCAGTATTCACGCTATCGCTCCTACTTTACATGAATTCTAAAATTAGCTCATTGAACTTGACTTGTATGTCGAGGATAGGAAACCCCGACTATCTGCCGGCTTCCGCCGCCTCCACATATGATCTGGTGTAAAAAACTTACGAGATTGAGTAAAAAAAACTACATACATTCCGATATCTCTCGCTATATCATCCACTTACGCAACGCAAAAAATGTTTCGGAGTTTCTAGTTTATCTCACTTCTTTTCAGTCGATTCACGGTCGGAAGATATCAACAGACATTTAAAATGTAATCTGTAATTCATATTTGCTATCACAAACACGTTGAGTCTTCTTCAACATTTGTACTGCAAAATTACTGCACACTTTGACCGCAGTTATTAAAAAGCAACCGTCACCTGAAGAATACCGTATTTCGTATGCAGATACTAGACATGTAAAAATTGACATTTTCTCGCCTTCGTTAACGAAGTTTACCAAAATTACGAAATTCATCAAAACAAATCGTCAAAGTAGAAATGCAAATCGTCAAAGCAGAAGAATCGACCTATTATGACAAGAATTCTTTCAACATGAACGAATTTCAAGAGCGAATTTGGAGAAAAGAGCACAAAAGTAGAATAACTCACAAAAGTTATTTCAATTAACGTCACAGACGAACATAATCGTTTTTCGTATTGCTGACAAATTAACACATTAAACTTTGGAGGTTGAATTTTCGCCTAGTGAATATTTCCTATTATATTATATTATATTATAATATATTATAATATTTCCTAACTATTATTGCAGACCAACATAATCGTTTCTCGTGTTGCTGCCAAATTAACACATTGATCCTCAGGGATTAAATTTCCGCGTAGTTAGTCACCCTTTTCCCTCTCATCACAAACTTCAGCAACTCTAGAGCAACAAGTCGAGTTCATAAGACTGTAACAACGTTAAAGTACATAAACAGTAGAACAATGTTTCGAAGCAAGCGCCTAGGAATAACTAATCCGTAACGATTCTTCCAACCCGTCGGAGGTAGTGGGGCCAAAAGTGGATTGTGCAATCCTCAACAGTGTCGAGGCCATCATACCCGTTGGTTAATATAATTCATTTGGAAATCGTTGAGCGAGTGCGTAAGGCGATCGTGGAAGTGGCTAACTGAATTTCAATCTAGGCGAATTTAGTGAAAGTGACGCATGCGTCTATTATTAGTATAAAATAATAGTGAAGTGAATAATGAAGACGAGGGAGAAGATTTGTCTGTATTTAATTCACTTTCTACTGCTGACAACAGTTGTTCCATCATCATCATTATCATCATCATCAGGAGCAGAACGAAAAAATAAGAAGCTGAAGATCCTTGGGGTTTTTTCCCACCCCGGAAAGAGTCATTTTGACGTCTTCAAACCCCTTTTAGAGGAGCTAGCCAATCGTGGCCATGATCTCACAGTCGTCTCCTACTTTCCTAGAACCAACTCATCATCAGCCCTGCCAAATTACAAAGACATCGATCTGACTGGTCCGGAAGGGGTCTTCTTAGAGATCGTCGACTTGAAGAAAATAAAGCACTCAATCCTTACCGTCTACAGAGAATTCATGCTGCTACGTCACTGGGGGTTGGAACACTGCCAAAAGAATTTGGCGAATCGAGATGTACAGAAACTCATAAAGTCCAATGCCAAGTTCGATCTCATTATTACGGAAGTATTCAACAGCGATTGCTTCCTCGGTTTTGTTCATAGGTTCAAGGCGCCATTCATCGGTTTATCCTCCCACGTATTATTCCCCTGGGCCAATGCGAGACTCTCCAACGAACATAATCCGAGTTATGTGCCAACTGTATTGCTGGGATTCGGGCCGAAAATGAATTTTATGGAGAGGGTCGGCAATTACGTTATTCGCAAGATTTTCAACTTAGGTTATGAGGTGTTTTACAATCGTCCAATGCAGAAGATTGTGGAAAAGTCATTCGGACCTAATGTCCCACCACTTGGGGATCTCGCCAAGAATATGTCAGTGATTCTGGTGAATATGCATTATTCTTTGCAAGGGTCGAAGCCGAATTTACCGAGTGTTGTGGAGGTGGGGGGTCTCCATATTTCTGAAAAGCAGCAGTCATTGCCGGGAGATATTCAGAGGTTTCTGGATGACGCCAAGGAGGGGGTGGTTTTCTTCAGCTGGGGATCCATGATCAAGGCCAGTTCGATGGGCGAGGAGACTCTGAGGGAGATTGTCAAGGCCCTTAGGAGCATTCCATGGAAGGTTATTTGGAAATGGGAGGATGAGGATCTACCAGGAAAACCGGAGAATGTTATGATTAAGAAGTGGGTACCTCAAGCCGCTATCCTTGGTGAGTTGAGTAGAATGAACGATTTGAAATATGAGATATGGAAGTGAAGAGATTGATTTTTAATATCTGTGATAAGTAACTGTGATTATGATAGGAACCGATGTCGGTAGCCGAGTGGGCTAGACGCAAATCTAGTGTGCGAAAGGTTGCGAGTTCGATTCCCCGTGGAAACGAATTTTTCAACGGAAGGCTCCGGCGAGCGGGAGGTTGCTAATAGAGTAACCGTTTGTACCGGCAAAGGTTTTTTGTGATTTCCCATGCTTCTCCTACGTTCTATAGGAGTGCGAATGCGGTACAGTGTAGAATCCACAGCCGCTCACGTAGGGTTCGATAGGGTGCCAAAATGAGACCCGAAAAGGGCCTCAAAAGGCCTTGAAAAAAAAAAGATTATGATAGGATTTCTATCGCTGCTCCAAATAATAACACATGGTAAATATTTTTCTTGAGATATAGTAAAAAATAAAGCATGTGAAGTGATAATAATTCTCTAGTCAGTGTTTCGACATGATAAATAGGTCTAATTCACTCATCTCCAACACGATAAAAATGGGATTGTAGGATTTATCTGCTCTCATCAGTTAATGAACAAATTCTTTCCAAATTCATTACTATTTTTCGTCTAGAATACATCCTAAGGAAGCTCATTCTTATTTATATCTCTGACGGTATATGTCCCGTATAAATTTCGTCCTACTGTTGAGAAAAATATGTGTCTCGAGAAAGATATCTTGGGGTAAACGACTCCTGAGATACCAAAAACGTTGGTAACAAAAAGTATTACTCTTAAGCTTTTATCTGTGATTCTGTTCCAGGCCATCCCAATGTGAAATGTTATCTCGCCCATGGGGGTCTCCTCGGTGTGAGTGAGAGTGTCAGCGCTGGGGTTCCCATGGTGATTGTTCCCATGTATGGAGACCAATTTAATAATGCTGCAGCGGCTAGGAGTCGAGGTGTGGCACTAGTTCTCGAGTGGAATAATTTGGATGCGGAAAGTTTGAAAGCTGCCATTGACAAGATATTCAATGATCAAAGGTGAGTTTAGGTTTGACTTCGTGGATTGATAACGATAATGAGAAAGGTTGGATATCTTTAGAAATGCATGGAAATTATTTTTTCATCGCCAAGTATCTTTACGTCCGCAAAGAAAAAAATTTCCTTAAAGTAGAAAATAAGATTGATAGAATCTAGAATATTGATGTGTTTAAATTAATTCTCCCTGAATAACGCACACTATTTTTTTAAAACAAAGATTTACCATTGGATCCGCTTGATATTTAGAGGAAAAACAAATGATATTTCTATGATTTTGAAAAATAAGCAGGAAACAGAGAGCATATGACAGCGCGCCATGAAACAGTGAGCATGTCACTGGATGATGTCTGATTTTTTTCGCCATCAATATATTGATGGCGGGCTTTCGAATGGTCTGAAATATTACAAAAGTTGATAGCTGCGCAACACTAACTAGCAGCAAAAATTTCAGGTGGTTACTGCCACCTTCATGGGTGGGTTTCGGATCAAGTGTATCCATTCATTAAAATTTACAACTCTCCGAATTACAGAAGACCGTCATTCTTACAGAAGTCCCTACATTCACTCAAGACCGTCATCTTTACAGAAGACCGTCATTCATACAGAAGTCTCTACATTCCAAAAATTGAATGTGTCGTGTAGATGAATCTGCATTCATCTTTAAGCATACATGCTAAAAAGAATGTTTTTCAGTCGATGAATTAAATTAATTTTCCTAGTTACTTTCTTTTCTACAGCCGATCTTTGTTCTCTGCATTTTGTAATTCACTGCATATTATTAGACTATTCAAATTGACAAAGGATGTCTGTTGAGGATACTACTGGAGTGAATTTTTTGAAACATTTTATATTCAATCTAACTCCATCAGGTTATTCTCGTTACGATGAGCCATGCATAAAGAAGTAAATCATAAAAAAACGCACTCATACACTTCATGATACTTGTAATTCAGTTAAAAACATATTTTTGTCCATAGAGTTTCATACGATTGAGGTTTCCTTCCAATAATTCATTCTATCACATGGTCCTCGCAAGAGATGATGAGAAGTAATTATTTGCAATCATTTCGAATGTTATACCATTCGATCTAAGGAATTGGCATTTCATGATGTTGGAACAGAATGATTAGACCTTATGCACGAAGCGACATAACTTTCATGATACTAATTACGAATTGTCATTGTCTATTTTTCATAAAAAATCTTTTGTACTATGGAATGGAAATATGAATAATTTTCCAACGGTTTACATATCTTATAAATTATTAATGGGTACAAAAGCTAATATAACCGTTTTGTTCATCGTTAACATACATTCTATCATTCATTCATTCACGACCATGTCAATATACGCCAGTTATATCTAGGAATGTCTAGTATTTCAAATTACATTCTGCAAGAGACGAATGAGCAAGAAAACGAAGGTTCCTTCGTGCAAAAACTTTGACTTATGAAACTTGATTCATGCTAATACCTGTTTTACTGATGAGAACCCCCTCCCTTGCCAAGGAACCGACCGAATTTTAGGACAAATCAATTTTCGATCACCATTAAATTTCAACTGTCAGATGTTTGGATGCTTTTATTTTGGACGCATGCAAAATCAATCGTTTTCAATTTCAGTATGTCAATTAATGAGATGACAAAAGATTCTTAACATGTTCACGATAACATGTCTAATTGAAACACTTTCCTACTTGAAAACATCCCATTTTGGAAAAGCGCACATCATCGGAAAATTTTTAGCTTATCATTAGGAATCGTGTAAATAATATATATTATTCGACTTATCGAATAGATAAATTCCTTCCCTTTGCTACGATCCATTTCGGCCTTCTTTTATGGCTCCCTTCACATCATTTTGTAATCGAAAATTCATGCTGTTGGTAGCTTCTGTCAGTATGTCTGGAGATTGGTACGAATTTTGTTATAAAAATTCTTTGCATGCACAGTATTTTAGCATTTTTTTTAGCGCAACGCTTCGTTTATTGATACACTTTCTGAACCATTGTAATTGATGTAATAATTCAACTTAGAGAATTCATAATATTATTGATTTTCTTAGCGTAGGAAAGTTAATGAAATTATTTCTTGTATCGTGCATCCATAGGTACTTCCTTAAGTATATTCGATTCAGGTGTCCATACTCAAATTTCCCGTATCGTCGAAAGGAATTATTCAAAAATATTTCACATTTATGCATCAACAATTTCACTCAATACAACACATAACGTTTTGCATTCTCAATTCACATTCTCTATCAATATAGATTTTCGATAGTCCACTTCAATAATCTGGTAGTCATCAATTCATCCGACCAATACGTATTGCAACCCATAACTTATTAGTATATTGATTTCGAAAATTTATTTTCCGTGATTCAGTACAATCGGCAATATAGATATTCTATTACATGACGTTGAAGACCTTTAGATTTATTTAGAAGTCTCGTCTGTATTCTTGAATTCCCATGCACTTGACTCCAAGCCCATGGTTGCTATCAAAATTCCACTGTTTCGAATACTTTGTATGAGCGGGTATACATATATTCTGTCCTAATTGCAAGTTAATATCCCAATTTTTGCACAAGCCAGAGTGTTTACAATTTTTTTTTTATGAAAAATGGAAAAACAGGAATATCGCGCAAACTTTGTTTCAACTGGTATATATACTGGTATATATGTTCTGATTGATTTAGACAGAAGGCATCGAAACGAATGTTTTGATAAAAAGTGAAAGCGGTTGCGTAGTTTTGAAGATATACCACGTAAAAGATTTTCAGAAAAAGTCGAATATCTCCGAAACTACTAATGCGATTAAGCCCATCTTCAACACGAAACATTCTTATCATGATAAGAAGATTTTGGGAAAATTTCAAGTTGATATCTCAATTTTTGCATAAGCTAGAGTGTTTACCTTTTTTTTTAATGGAAAAACAGAAAAACGGAAATATCTTACAAACTTTGTACGAACTGGTGTATATGTTTTGATTGATTTTGACACAAGGCATCGAAACGAACGTTTTCTAAAAAAATCGAAATCGGTCCAATTGCTTTGAAGATATTTGCGGTAAACCATTTAAAAATGAATCGCACAAAGCTAAAAAAAATTGAAACGTGAAATTAAATTTTGCACAAAGCTAGTCCTTATTAGGATCTATAATCTGACAAAATTTCAGATTTGTTGGAATTACTTTAGCCACTTGATTACTCAATCTTCTAAAAATTTACCACCGGGGAGGTGGTGGTGGACGTGGTCGCATGCAGACATGGTCACCAAACTTCGTATTTTTATATTTCAGGCCATTCTACAGTACTTTCAATCAAAATTAGAGAAAGTGAAAATCTAAGTATTGCAATGCTTCCATTGGGATGCAAAAAATAATATTAGCTCGGACCAAAATTGATGGATTTTTTTTCTGTGCTCATGAATAGAATTAGATTCGAGAAATTCCTTTTCTCCTTCTCAGATACAAAAAGAATGCAAAGGCACTTCAGAAAGCTTGGCACGAACGTCCCATGTCAGCACTGGAGACATCTATCTGGTGGTCGGAATACGTCGCACGTGGACATGGCAATTATTACCTCAAAACAGCAGCTGCTGATCTCACTTGGTATCAGTTAGAGCTCTTGGATGTAATTGTCTTCCTACTCCTCATTATCCTCATCGTAATTTTGGTATTCTACAAGATAGTGAATGTGATAATTAGGAAAATATTCACCTCGTTGCAGAATTTCCAGAGTGATTTTTCGAAGAAACACAACTGAATTCTAGACTTTTCGATTTCTGCACCAAATTAACAAATTCTTCAAAGAACAATTCAAATCTTGGGCGTTTTTTATTGACGATGAATATATATTTCATCATGAAGAGCCTATAAATAGCCATTCACTCCCTAATGTTGATGAGATAATTTGGAGAGCTTTAGAGATGAATAGAAATCCATTTTTCATCGCCAATCCATTGAAAAAAGAAATTTGAGAGGATCCGTGCTTTCACAATAGAGGAAATAGAGAAAATCTTCTAAAAGTAAGCCATAAGATTGATAGAATCTAGTAGATTGATGTGTTTTAATTAATTTTCTCTAAATGATGAACATAATTTTTATACAACAACAACGATTTAACAACATTGGATATGTCTGATATTTAATAAGAAAACAAGTTAATAACTGATCTTTCTCGAATCTAGAAGAAAAATGGAATTATTTCGTGTAAAAATTTAATAAATTTTTGTTCTGTGCTGACGAAAAAAATCTATACTTCCCTCCTTCTTAGATAAATGAAGTATGCAAAGGTACTTCAGGACGGTTGGCACGATCGTCCCATGGCAGCACTGTCAGACTACTGTCTGGTGGACTGGAAACATCATACGTGAACATGGCAATTATCGCCTCAAAAGAGCAGCTGGCAATCTCACTTGTGTAGCACTTCTAATCTCACTACCAATCTCACTTGTTCTGCACTTCGCGCAGCGTGCTTCAAACTCGTCTTCTGCACGGTGTGACATAAAATATTATAGATCACTCGGACGTAAAATATGAAAATTGAATTAAATTAATTAATTCCAGTACAAGGGCACAAATTTCGTTTTTAACGAATGTGAAGTTTACAGGCCCAGCCGAAAGCGAGGTCTGTACTCACATTCGTTGAAAACGAAATTTATGCCTTTGTACTCTAATGTACTATTTTTACTGCGAATGGATTCTCCGGCACTTTTGTTAGCGTTGACCATACGTTGATTACGCCAATAGCATGATGAAGCTAGAATATTTAGCGACACGTCGCACTATGATAATTTCATGGATGTTGTGAATTTATTTCTCTACTATCCCTCTAAACATCTGGCTTGTTTTAAATTAAGAAATGTTTAAGATAATTTCAATCTAGAGCGTTTGGTATTAATGACGAAGAAATATTTTAACGTGAAGAACCTTCTAGTCGTGCATTGTCTGATATTGATGGAGTCAATTTAATTTATGATGCGAATAGTATTCGTCACCCAAAAATAAGTTTAGAAAAATCAGGAAGACAGTTCCTTCCATATGTTGATGATCAGTATTTCAAATCTAATATATAATTAACATGATGTGCCCTCGACTTATCGGAAATCCAACGGCTCCTCGACCTTGTCGAAGGTCACGATAGTAATTCTTCAATATTCACAAATAGGAAGCAACCTAGGGCAGTCATAGAAACCATGACACGATATGGGGAATATAGAGCGAAGGGCGCACCTTCATTAATATTGTATGGAGAACCAAGTTATTTATATCTTTCAGCAGTCGATAAAGCTGAAGAAAGTGGATACTCTTTTATTGTTTTTCAGCTAGTCATGCGCGTACTGATCAGCACCAACTTCCTGGAGTAGCTTAATTCTATAAACATTTGTGACATATATTTTAGGTCCATATTTTATTCAATGGTTTAGGGAGTATTTATAGGAATTTCCGTGAGGCTCGTTCATGATGAACTGAGATTATCATGTTCCATACATTATGAAGAGGGGTTGTTTTCCGATTATGTAGCTGCCGCTGCTGCTTAACTAAAGCCTCACTTCACTGTCCCACCACCTGTCGTCGTGGCAACGTCCTCATACACCAGTGGTCATCGGTATCGGCAAGGTATGTCTATTTTGCTCCTGGGTTTTCATAGATTTTGAGGATTTATTTATTGTTGCGGGCTTGGATTATTGAGGGTTTGATTAGGTGAGTTTTGGAGAGGTTTCGGGTCTTTTTGCGCAGAAAATTCGATCATATTGGGGGAGAGATTGGTGTGATTGGCGATTCTGGGGTTTAAACGTTTGAAAGTTACTTTGAATTGCGCAACTGGGGTTGCGATCAAGTTTAATTTGAATTCGGCGGGAGTTTGATTCATTCGTTTTGGAGCAATCAGTGCTTTCAAAAGAGTTTCTCATATTTGTGAGTGATTTCTATCCATTGAATACTAATTTTGCATCTATTATTATTGTTTCGAGAATGATTGATTCAGGTTTGTTTGTTTTACATTCTTAGAAAAATTATGAATTTGTTGAATTGATTGGGTTCCACTTGTTTTCTTTTTTTTGTAATGGAAAAATCATATCTAGCTTGTTTTCACTTTGTATTTTTAGAATTCGGTAAACCACTCTATCAATGTGGAATCTTTTTTTGGGGAAATTTCGGTGGATTTGAGGGAGGAATCCATGCTGTTGGAGATTCTAGGATTTAAGCGTTTGAAAGTTCAGTTGAATTGGGTAATTAGACATGGGGTCAAGCATTTGAATTTAGTTGGAGTTGGATTGATTCGTTTGGGAGTCATTAGTCATTTCCTACCGGTCGGATATTCGCTTTATATTCGAAGTGTTTTCATTTTATATTCATCCATTTTATTCATTTATTTATTCATTTATTCATTCATTATAATTACTTATTTATTCATTCATTTTATATTGGAATTTGTTTCACGTTCTGTATCCTTGGAAACATTATGAGTTTAATTATGTATATTGTTTTATGCGTTTGGTGTGTATTGATTGGTTTTCACTTTCTTTTTCTTTCTAAAAACTCGTACGGAGCTTGTTTTCTGCAATTTTAAAAATTGATAGAGAATGGATTCAAAAAAACGTTGCTTACTATGATGAATATAAGTAATACTGGAACGATTACTGCTGTTGGTTTTTTTGTGGAAATATTTCAGTGCTTAAAGGGAGGCGTTCATACTGTTGAGAATTGTAGGGTTTGAGTACTTGAAAGTTCAATTGAATTGGGCAATTAGAGGTGGGGTAAAATATTTGAATTTAGTTAAAATTGGATTGGTCTGTTTTAGAGTAATGATTGATTTTTATCTGTTGAATATTTATTCCATATACCAATTTTTTTGCCTGTGAAATAATTTATGCATTTTCTCATATTCTACGTGCTTAAGGAAATTATGAGTTTAGTGTATTGATTAAGTCTTACTTGCTCTTACTATCTAGAAAAGAGCTTCTAGAAAACTCGCATCATCCTTGTTTTTACTCTGCAATTTTAAAGATCGATAAACTACAGAATTTTTCTACTGAAAAAATATTAGGTGGCGCATTTCGACGCACGAATTGATCCGGAAATGTCGCTTCCCATGACAAATATGAGTAATGGGGGAACGACCACTGTACAAATAAACACACGACCTGATGACATTCGAAAGCGGATTATTGGAGGTAAGTGGAGAGATTAGTGTCATCATCAATCTTCAAATATCTTCAGAGAAATATACAGTGTCAGATTTTTTATTTTTACAAATTCAAATAATAGCAGCCCGTGAATTTTCATTGTCATCAATTTCAGGGGAGATTACAATGAGTTTTGAAAGTCGCAGGCGATTGGAGTGAAATTTCTCGTGCATAAAAGATCGATTATATAAGGTATTCCATGCCAAATGAGTTAACTGTTAACCCTTACCCTTTTGGAAATGGATCTCGATTCTTTCTACGATTTGGGGGCTAGGAAAACTATCTGTCAATTTTTTTGAGATTTGACAGCCCATTTCGGAGATCATTTTTTCTTTGTTTTTTCTTTGCTTATCAATAACTCGGGTTCTATTCAGTCGCTTTTAATTTATGATAGCTCAAAATTTTTCATTTTCTACCATCTGTCAAAAGATTTTGGGTAATTTTTTTCAATTCCTAGGTGCTCATAATACCGAATTTAAAAAAAAATTGAAAAACTTCAAGTTTCAAAATTATGTCACCTTTTATTTTCCTTATCTTATTTTCAGTAACTCTTATAATCAGAACAAGTATGTTCAGCCATCATACAAGTTGGGTTTTGTCCTGGATCTGTTTTATTTTGTTCTTCTCGAAATTCCGCGAATTTGGACAAAATATCCCAAAACGATTTCGATTATGTATCAAACAATGTGTAACATATAAATGTATATTTCAATTCACGTCATACTGTTTATAATCGAGGTCAACGCCATTTTGGGACGAAACTTGTATGACGGCTCAAAATACTTGTTTAAAATAAAACGTTACATAATCTTGGAAATTCAAGTTTTTCATTTCGAAAAATTTAAAATTTTGACGTGTCATAAATAAAAATCCGAGGAATAGAACTGGAGTTATTGAAAAAAAAGAAAAAAAAGAAAAAATCATATCTTTCAAATAAGCTGTTAAAAAATCAGAAAAAAATTGAAAGATAGTTTTTCTAGTCACCCAATCAAAGAAAAAAATGGGATCAATTTCCAAGAGGGTGAGGGAAGCGTTCACTCATTTGACATGAAATACCTCATATCAAGTAAAACGGATAATTGGGTTTGTTCGTTGGAGTATAACGAAGATTTAAAAATAAGCAGGGGACAGCAAGCATATAAAAGCGCGCCATGTGATAGTGAGCATGTCACTGATTGATATATTATTTATTTTCGCCATCAATGCGTTGATTCTGGCGGGCATCCGAATGGTCTGCAATATTACAAAAGTTTATAACTTCACAACACCAACTAGCAGTATAAATTTTAGATGATTACTGCCGCCTCGATTTAGATAGAAGGCCCCCAAACGAATGTTTTGAAAAAAAGAAAATGAAATCCGTTGCGTAGTTTTGAAGATATTTGCGAAAAATGATTTAAAAATGAATCGCTTTTTATCAAAACTATTAGATCAAACTATTAGATCAATCAAACTGAAATTTTGCGCAGAATTAGGTCCTCATTAGGACCTATAATCTGACAAAATTTCAGACTTGTTGGAATTACTTTATCCACCTAATTTCTCAAGTTTCAAAAAATTGAACACCGGGGAGGTGGCGGTGGACGTGGTCACATACTGACATGGTCGCCAAACTTCGTATTTTTACATTTCAGACCATTACATCAATTCCAATCAAAATTAGAGAACGTGAAAATCGAACGATTGCAATGGTTCCATTCGGAAGAAATGAAAAGTTGAAATCGGATGACAACTGTGGTGCAAGGAGCAATTGAAAATTCACCTTTCAATGCCTCTACCAATGACAGTTTCAGTTTAACTCAACGAACCGGGGGAAGAAAAATACCAATTTGTAGCGGAAACAGTGATCTACGAAATTGATGTGGAAAGCTATGTTGCACACGTTCTATTTTTTATGCAATTAATTGTTAAAGTTTTTCTCATCGCCAATCACTCCAGACGGTGAGATGACTGTTTGCTCCCCCTCATTAATACGCATGCCATCTAAATTTATGCGCGCGCTATGCACTAAATTCATACGAGCGCCCGCTTTATACGCTCAACACATGATCGATTTAACAATCATTTTTCATTCAAAATCAAATTTATAAATGTTTTTTACATTATAACATGTGGAATTAATAAAAATTAAGAAAAGAAATAATGACAGAATTAATAAAAATTTAAAAATGTTCATGGGGAATAGAAGGCTGAGAAATTAATTGAATCGAGAATTACATTAGAGGAATCAAGTAATCTAGTAAATAATGAAATCAATTGTTGTAACACATCATGGAGGTAATTAAAAATTATTGTAATGCATTGACACATGTTTTGAATTACCGCAGTGGTGGATTTGAACGAATAATTAAGGTTATAATATTAATGGTTGCAGTGATCATTCTTCGATCAATTTATAAAGGATAATATTATGCTAGTCTTTCATTGCAGCGAAAATTGAATTGAAGAACATCCTAGTATCTTTTACAGTTTGGTACAGATCGCAGTATACATTTAAATATTTTCAATGATCAAATTTGTCAATTAAGTTACGTGAGAAAAATTTGGAAAAATAATGAATATTTAGCAATCAACGTTCATTGAAAATGGAATTAAACAAACTGAAAATGTTTATTTATTCCAGAGTATGCATCATATATTCCTAGAAGATTTCAAAATGCCTTGTGTCTGAATTAGTTTCCTATTAATGTCAATCGAAAAATGGAAATCTAATTAAGCTCCTAAATTCTATTGCAAAATATGAATTAGGAGTACAGTAGAGTCTTCCTAACTTTTCTACTTTCCAACTTCACTACGATCGGCGATTGCGGGGAGAGTGTTCCCTTACTCTCAGCACCCCAAACGTGCGTGAGTGATATGTGTGTATCCCTTTGCTTGGGTAAATGCGCAGTAAACAGTCTCTTTTCCCGCATGTTTTTCGTACCCCGTGTGCCCATAACCTCTCACTCTACTTGAGCTACGCTGGGGTGAACTTTGGGAGACTTTACTGTAAAAAAACAAAAACAAATGCNACAATTCCTTGCTTATTTTGAAATTTTTTTTGAAATCTCTCTAAAAAAAACAAAAAAAATGTTTTTGTATAAAAACAGTGCCAAGAAAAAGTTTGGGTTGGTTCTTACTGGGAAGTAGAAATTTTTGAAAAATACAAAGAAATGAAAAAGAGAGCCAAGTCAGCAATGTCGAATGAACGAATATAGTGCACAATCAGATTTCTAGAAGAAAAATAGTTTCAAATCGAATAAGGATTTTAAAAAAATTCTTCATGAAATAAAAAATTACTAGAAGAAGGACCAACGTCCTTGGCGCGGATCAAAAGATGGCGGATTAGCTTGATACTAAACAGTGAGTTGAAAAACTCCGTGCCAAGAACGTTGGTCCTCCTTCTAGTAATGTTTTGTTTCATGAAGAATTTTTTAAAAATCCTTATTCGATTTGAAACTATTTTTCTTCTAGAAATCTGATTGTGCACTATATTCGTTCATTCGACATTGCTGACTTGGCTCTCTTTTTCATTTCTTTGTATTTTTCAAAAATTTCTACTTCCCAGTAAGAACCAACCCAAACTTTTTCTTGGCACTGTTTTTATACAAAAACATTTTTTTTGTTTTTTTTAGAGAGATTTCAAAAAAAATTTCAAAATAAGCAAGGAATTGTTTTGATATCCTATAAATTTTGTTATTTCCAATTCAATTCGCCTCATTCATTTTGCACAAGATAGATCGTCTTTCCAATTAACAATCGAAGCAAAACAAATAATTGTACTTCACAGTCATCATTTCCACCGACTTTCAATTACTGATTGCAGATTTTTCGACTCAATTTGCTTCTTCCAGAATTTATTTAAGCACGAAACTCAATTGAGAAATATCTGTGAAATTTATCGTTCATGCACCAAATTCCATTTGTAAATTCCCGGGCTCCCTCCTTGGCTGTATTGCAGTGCTACCAACTCCGTAACAAAAAAATGATAGGAGATAATGTGAAATACGACAATGTGCATGTGATCCCGTTGCTATGCACGTAATTTTTTCAATATTGATTGGAATAAAAAAAATAATTATATCAATGAGAAGCTGGTGGTCGATTTATATCATGTAACTAAGATTATTTTTCATGTACCTTGTCACATTTGTATTTTATTAAATGGATATATGTCGGACGTAGATAGTTGCTTCGTGTATAGATACACGGCAGCGTTCGGCCAGTTTTCTGCAGAGTCAAAACTTTTTCTTGGCCGATACGCTACCGCGTATCTCGATCATTAAGGATATCTCAGTACTTTAGCTATTTTTTCTCCAGTCAAATATTTTTCTACTTTTGCAGTCGAACATCAGAGCTTTTATTTTCGGATATTTTGCAATAATTTTATTATTTAAACTTTGTAGGTCTGAGTTTGAATCTCGATATTGAACTGTTAAAAGACATTGTAAAAATCTGGAAAATAATTAGAAAGTCCATCTTTGGAAGAAGATGGATGAAATACTTACAAAATTGCAATTATTGATAATTTTAGTATTTTCTATAAATAATTTATGAACAATAAATTTTTTACCATACAACTCATTTGTTCAGAATCGTAACAAATATATTCATATTTAGAATTTTACCAGAAATTGACTTCATGCCTAAAAAATACAGCTTTCTGAAAGTTTAAACACTTTCAATCATTTATTTATGAACGAGGAATGTTCAAAATAATAATTCTGTGCAACATGTAATTGGAATAAGGCTGAATATTCACGATTTTTTAAAAGTTTTTCTCACGTAACTTAATTGGTAAATTTAATCATTGAAAATATTTCAGTTTGTAGGGCGATCTGTAACAAACTGTAGAAGATGCTAGGATATTCCTAAATTCAATTGTCGCTGTAATTAAAGGCTAGTATAATATTATCCCTCATTAATTAATCGAGGAATTATCACTGTAATAATTATATTACAACTTTAATGATTCGTTTAAATCCACCACTCTGGTAGTTTAAAACTTTTGTCAATGCATTACAATAATTTTCAATTATCTCCACGATGTGTTACAACAATTGATTTCATTATTTAATAAATTCCTTGATTCCTCTAATGTAATTCACGATTCAATCAATTTCTCAGTCTTCTATTCTCCATGAAAATGGAAAATTTTTATCAATTCCACATGTTACAGTGAAAAAAATTCTTTAAATTTTTCAATTCAATTTTCAATGAAATTGTTTTTTTTTCCCTCGATTTGTTAAGTTAAACTGAAACCGTCATTGTTAGAGGCACTGAGAGGTGAATTTCCAATTGTTGTCAATTTATTAACTATATTTGCGGTCATTCTCAGAAATGCATTTTTTCATATGTTAATCGGCACAATTTTCTGAATACCCCAGTATTTATTGTTTCGACAGAAATTTTATTTCCGCCTCAAAGTCTAAATTGACTGAACTAATACAACAAGTCGTCCAATGGCTCTTAAAGCCGAGCGAAGACTTCTAAATTTCACCGTGGTATTCCCTAAAAATGAATTTATTCATGAAATTTTTTACTCACTTCTCAAATTTCTCGAAAATTTGAGATCAAAAATGGAGTTTTTCATGTCATACAATTAATCATATTTTAATGTATGTATTTTCATTGATTTTCGTGGGAGATACATCTTATTTTTATATTTGAATGAAAATTGCATTGCCAAAGTCATTCTGGAAATGGAGTAAAATATTTAATCGAATTTTTGCCATTCCGGTCGTATGGCAGCGCTTCACGGATGCCCCTGAATCATTGCTTCTAGTCGTTATAACAACAAATATTATTCGTCACACGGCCTAAAAAAAATTTCCAACTCATATGATTGCAAACCTTGGCTTTGGCTCGGATTGCAAACTCATATTCGCCAGAAATTTTTTTTTTCAGCATCCTGACCAAAATATTTCAATGTCTTGAAAATTCTAAACAATAATTTTCTGAATTTTCATAATTGTCAATAATTCCCATTGTGACATGAATCTGAAAAATGCAATTTCATGAAATATTCCAGGAATAAAGTGATTTGTCACTGAAAACATGCGTATAATTTGATATAAATTATTCGTCGTTAAAAATTTCTAGTCATTTATTTGGAATTCGAAGAGTAATTTTGTCAAAGTGTAAGGAGAATTTATTTTCATTATCATTAGCGGAAGATTCAACTCCTGCTGATGAATCAGGGTGCGGAAATGTGCTCGTTGTATTGTCCTGGGTGCTTGTGGTGATGACAATGCCATTTTCCTTATTCGTCTGCTTCAAGGTAATTTTCTAAACTAATTTTCACGCCCTCGAACAATTGAATTAACATTTTTTCTTGATGAAAAAACATTTTTTGTTCTCAGGTTGTCCAAGAATACGAGAGAGCAGTGATTTTCCGACTAGGAAGATTGCTATCAGGCGGTGCGAAAGGCCCAGGCAAGTTAGATAAGACGAAAAAAAGTCAAGAATTAGTTCTGTAAGTCCATCTGGCTGAATCAAGGACAATCATTAATACTCCCGACTATTATTATTCCAGGGATTTTCTTCATCCTGCCCTGCATTGATTGCTATGCACGTGTCGATTTACGTACACGTACCTATGACGTTCCACCGCAAGAGGTATATTACATTATCTAACCATCACTAAAGTTATATTATCCTACTTGGCAATGTCGAAATTTGCATTATCATTAATTACTAACTGGTGGATTATGGTAATTAAGGGATGTTTGTAAGTCTCAACTTAGAATAGTTGTTCTTGTTCTCTATTTTGCAAATATTTCCGAAACTACGGTTTTTTCTCATTCAGTTTTTTTATTTTTTTTCGGATTATCATATCAGAAATCCTTGCGAAATAATCTTAATCTATTTTAAACTTTAACATAAGAAAAAAAGTGATTATTAATTTTTACATGGATTATTCTGTATATGTTTCCTATTAATTATTGCGTTTTTCGAAAAATGTCAAACAAATTTTGTTGAAGTCCGTGAATTGGGCTATAAAAAAGTCGTTTGAAATCTGTTCATGAACATAATGGTATGGAAAATAGTTGGGGTATAATGGCAATGCATTGCAGACTTGAAAAATGTCATGTGGCCTATACATACAGATATCTCTAAAATTACTGGATTTAGAGAAAAATGTCACACACATTTTTTAGCTCATGAAATTCTCCATAAAAAAGGTTTTATGTCACTGGGCACGAATGTCAAAGTATTGTATGTCACACGGCGATAAAAGTATTATCTGACGAATGTGATTATAATCCTCGCTGTCGGCTCGGCGTATAAAGTCACATTCGCCAGATAATACTTTTATCGCCTGAAGACGTAATGTACTATTATCATATTTTGTTCTAAATCTCTTAATTCTAGAGAGATTTGCAAAATGATGTAGGCAAAATTTCGATTTCGATCATGCAAAGTTCCAGAATTTTTGCATGAATTTTCTGGATTTTTTTTATTGTCCAATACCATAAGCTCATCCCCACCAATTCATAACTCTACAATATCATTCATCATTCACTCAATCCACCACCAATGCATGAAAAATACCACAAAATACTTGCCTAATGACCAATGCCCTATGAAAATTATGCCCAATGACTTGACATCCAAGTTAAAAAAACCTAAATAATAAATTATGAACTTCAGGTTTTAACCAAAGACAGTGTCACAGTATCAGTCGATGCAGTTGTGTATTACCGGGTTAATAATGCAACAATATCGATTGCAAACGTGGAAAATGCTCATCACAGTACTCGGTTACTCGCCCAAACAACTTTACGAAATACAATGGGAACAAGGCCACTGCACGAAATATTGAGCGAGCGTGAAACGATTTCCGGAAATATGCAGGTAATTAATTATGTGATAGAGGTAATAAAATTGATAATATCGAAATTGTTGCATTATCTTGCCAATATCTGAGGAATCAATAGACTTACAAGAAAGTTTAAAAAAACTTTTGTTGTAGCTCATAAAACTCTGCACAGAAAATGTCTTATGACCTTTATGCTTCCGAATGGAGGCTTTGGAATCGTCCATTTTGATCATCTAATTTTACTTGGAAATGATTTAGAATGTCATGAAACGTGACGATATGCACAGCAAAAACATGTCTGAATTTCACACACCTTTTGTACACATTTTTCAGACACTAAAAAACGTCTGAATAAAATCAAAATTTGTCTGAATGCCATGACTTAAGATGTTTGGGCACCTGCTCGTCTGAAATTCAGACACATTATCATTGTATTCAGACTTTTCTAGTATCTGGAAAATGTCTACAAAAGGTTTGTGAAATTCAGACATTGGTTTTTTGCTGCGTGATGTTTTTAGAAAATGTGTGTATATATCCGTATGTATGTGCAGATTTTTCGGAATTTATCTTTATAAATCTTCACGATACAAGCAGCGGACAGATGGCCTTTGACAGATTACATATGACTGTTACTTTCCACATACTTTTCTTTCTTCCATTTTCATGTGTACCAATGTCATTGGTAGTAGGCTATCGAATGGATCCCAATTTCAAATATTCTCTTTTTTGTGCACATACGTATGTACACAAAGAGTATGCATTTGGTCAATTGGTATAAATATGGGACTAGCATTATAAATAGCGCTTCGCGCGCTCGGCACTTAGTGTCTGCATTTTCAATCCCATTGTTGAAGAAATTAATCATTAGATTAATATGTACATAATAGTTTATATAGTTTTCAGATGTAATTGCATAATTTATCATCACAATTTCACGCGGTTGATTATCAATGAAGTGGATCTGAATATATAATCTCCATAGTTTTGTCTTATAATTAGTCTTCGTCTTATAATTGTTAGAGGAATCTTTCGATTCCGATTTCCCATTCACAAGATACCACTCACTACAGGGCCCATGAATCATATATATATAATCTCTCGAAGATATATCGGCAATAGATCACGTTTTTTTTAACTGTAGTGATTTATTTCAATTGAATTATTATTTTAATTTTAGTTTAATTTATTTAACTGCAATTGATACATGGTATCACTTAGCAGGGGGATCCCATTATACAAAAGAAATAAGAGTAAGAGATATATGTAGATGAGTAATAAGCGTAATGATAATAATAATCCAAAAAACCAATATCAATAGATACAAAAATCAGAAACGAGTTTTCTATCAGCGGTTACAGCAGCACAAATCAACACCGGCTTGATGTAATGTACAATTCGCAGAGCAGATTTCTCAAGAATAATGATGTGGAAATAAAATAAGAAGTCAGTTGGCATCAGCATGGCTTAGTCATTGAACTCGGCAGCCCTGAGCTGGAAACACTTCTTGAAGTAGCAGCACAGAATACGGATGGATCTCACATCGTTTGAGTTCAGGAAAGCAGACAGGCCTGATAACGTTCGGGTATTGACGTCCCAGAGGAATCTCGGGAGATAGTGGCTTCGCAGAGGCGAGTAAAACTGGCAATCCACCAAAATATGGAGAATATCCTCGTGGGCCAACTGGGTGCAAAGAGTGCAGATTTGGGTGGGGTCGAGTTGGTAGAGAGTATCATCGATGATCAAACGTCTGGAGTGAGTCGAGAGTACTCTGAGCTGCATTTTCAATCTGATGAAGGCTAGTGGAGCTCTATCAGGGTAGAAATTCTCGAAATTATCAAGAGGGCTCCTTAAAACCTTCAGTAAGATGGACGTGGACCCACAGTACCTTAGGTAGTCCTCATACTTCGTCTTGGCTCTGAATTGGTTGATAATCTTGAACGTTCTCTGCTCCCAATACGCGGGTGACAGGTTGCGCCACAAGTCTCCACTTTCTACCCCAACCAAGAGGCTTTTCAGTTGCTTCACCCAATTGTACCTGTCAACCGACCCAGAGACTATATTTGAGAAGTCACTAGGGGCTAGAGAGATAAGTCTTTCAAGGCATATTCTTGGCAGATCATCAGTGCTCATTTGTAAAATCTTTATGATCCAGCTCAAGGCTTGCTTCAGGACTTCACATGTAATGTGATTAACACCGGTTTCCAGGCGTATGAGGTACCCAGCTCCATTTCTAGGTAAGTGAAAAATCCTCTTCAGGAATGAGAGCTGAGCAGTCTCGAGCTTGTCCTGATGCCTCAGACCCCAGATGGAAGCCCCATACAGAAGGGTAGATTGCACTACGCTATAGTAGAGTCTACGAATATCCTCCCAAGAATCCACCTTGGCTCTCGATTTTAATTATTGAGGAAGAAGCAGATTTAGCCTTTGAGACAGCCACTCTAGTCGCTGCACCACCCAGTCCAGAGGAACTTAGCTTCACTCCCAAGTACGTATACGAAGATACAATTTCCAGCTCACTCTCATTCAGTCTGAAGTCATGGTTTCTTCTGGTTAGACGACCACCTTTTCGGAAGACCAGAACCTTGGTTTTACTGGTGTTCACCGTGAGACCAAACTCAGTAGAGTACTCCTCCAGAATTGAAATCTTCTTCTTGAGGTCAACCGAGTTGTTAGCCATGATTATCAAGTCGTCAGCGTACAGGAAGAGCAATATATCAGTTCTATCGTTGATCTCAACTCCTTTGACCCCTCTGGAGCGAAAGAAAGAGACCAGATCTGAGAGGTATAAGTTAAAAAGAAGGGAGCTCAATTTCTCACCCTGCAGGACTCCTTCACTGATGTCAACCTCCGCTGAGGATCCTTTCTGGATTCTGATGTGCATGGTAGAGTGATCATAGAGGTTCTAGATGACTTTGATAATCCTGGAACTCACCCCGAGTCCCAGGAGTTTCAACCAGAGTTGATGCTGCGGTACAGAGTCAAAGGCTCTTCTAAAATCCACGAAGAGGGAGTAGACTTTGCCACCGGTTTGTCTCAGTCTATTTTGGATTATTGCTTGGAGAGAGAAGAGGTTGTCCAGAGCACCTCTAGATTGGCGGAAGCCAGCCTGTTCTTCTGGAATGACTCTCTGCAACTCAGCCCAGTCGTAGACTCGTTCGTTAAGGATGGAGGTGAAGAGCTTGGTGATCACATTTATGAGACCGATCGCCCTATAGTTCAGGGGATCTCTCTGATCGCCTTTCTTGTATATCATACAAAGGGCTATCTTGGTCCAAGCATCAGTCACCTCACCTGTGATAAGAACCCTGTTGAACAGGTCAAGGAGGATGGATTTCCAGTCCTGAGGCAGGTACTTGTAGAAGTTGGCAGAGATTGAGTCTTCTCCAGGAGCTTTGCGCCCCTTCATGCTCTTTATGCTGTGGTTCAATTCCTCAGGGGAAATCGGAAGGTCCATGCTGATCAGTGGTGTATCAGGCAAAATCAGAGCCCAAGAGGATCTACCAGGTTAGGTGCGGAGGAGAAATTCACTCCATTCATCAAGTATAATCACTTCCCGAGTCTCAGGGCACCCTTTCACTGCTCGATACGTTTCCCAAAAAGTGATAGAATTTTTTACATTCGAAAATTTCTCAGATAATTCACTTTTATATGCTTTCTTTTTCGCCATAGTTTCTTTTCTGTAAAATTTGTTCTTCACATTGAAAGCCACTGCACTCGCCATGTTGACATTAGGATCATAAATTTTTTTGGAAAGCTTCCTGGCTTCAGTCTTCAGTCTGTGACATTCGGCATCGAACCAGGGAGATTTCCGCTGTGCCTGAAGATATGAGTTGAATGGTCGAGACATTTTCCTCATCTCCGATGCAGAAGCAGCTTCCTTGATAGCGTCACAAATCAGTTCATTCAGAGTGTTTAGATCATGCTCAGGGCTTGCCTCAGAGATTCTTACTGAGTTTGCAAGATGTCTAGAATAGACATCAAACTTGTCAGCCTTCCATATGAGCTTAGGGTTCTGAGAGACTGCAGGGGGAGAATTGTCTAGGCAAACTATTAAAGGAGGGTCATCGTCATGGGGGGACGAGAGACCAGTCTTCAATGCCAGACTCAAGGTGAGCGAAAGATGATTGGACCCCAGAAGCGTAGAGGAAACCTCCATATCAATAATCGACCCTGCATGGTCAGCACTCACCCAGGTTAGATCAAGGGTCGAGGCAGCTCTGGAATTGGTGAATCGACCGGGATGATCCGAAATTGTTCGACCATTCAGAAGGATGAATCCATTCTCAGTCATGAAGGACATCAGCATCTCGCCTCTCTCATCGGTTTCCGTTACTGAGGTTTCTCTGTGCTCATATAGCCTCGTACCATAGACAATCTCAGGAGGAAGGTCGTCCTCAAAATCTGCTATTGTAGCATTTATGTCACCACCCAGAATAATGATGTCGGACTGAAATTTACTCTGTATTTCATCTAAGGAGAGTTGGAAAAGTTCTAGGATTTGGTATAGTTGGAGGGTTGGTTTGAAGTACACCGAGCCCACAACAATATTCTGCAGACCCGCACAGATTCTGAAGAAGATCCACCAGGGAGTAATCTCAATCGTTTCAGAGACCTGGCAGTAGATGAGGAGATTCATTGAGGAGCATTGTCTCGGATAAACAGATAATGTGCATTTTAGAGTTGAAATCATTAAGGAGAACGTTATTCATACCATTTGAGTTCCAAAAAGTGATGTTGATTGGACTGCTCGTTATTAGTTTTTTGTCCTGCGATGGTTGGCTCTGCTACCAGGGCGAGGATTCTTGTGACTAGTAGGAGGCTTCTGGTCAAGACAATCTTCTGCATAGTCCCATACCCAGCGGAGACCATCCACAAATAGCGTTTTGTAGCCAGGCTTGGCAGCTTTCCCTTCGTCTCTGTACTGCTTAGCAGTGGCTTTGATGGAGCTATAAATTCTGCTATCTCTGGGGGTGAGGTCAGGGTCGATGAATACCCTGCAGTCTCGTTTCTCTTTAAGTTTGGCTTTCTCTTTTATAATTCGCTCTCTTACTTCAGTAGAGAGTAACTTGGCAATGAGGAATTTGGATCTGCTTCCTACCTCTCTGACCTCCACAACTGCATCCCTAATCTGGAAGTTGTCGAATAAGAACTGGTTGACGGGCTCTTTGGGTGAAGACGCATCATAC